CCAAAAAATTAATAGAAAACAAGAGAACAAGAAATAAGCGTGGTAAAAATCTCAAAATGAAATGGTAAAACAATTCATTTATTAATTATTGATTATTAATCCAGTTACTTTATTCTGTGGTTAGAAATGATTTTTGAAATTTCACTACCTAAGGAATAAATTTCCAAATCTCACTCTCCCAAATCTGGGTTAACCTTTTCAGCTTCATTTCCATTGTCTCTTCTCTATGAAAGCCAAGTCCCGCCAGAGTAAATTCAGCTCCTTCCATACACTATGAACTTGCAGTATAAACTTTCATTTCTCCTTGTTTTGTTTAGAGAATCTTATATGCATTGACTACAAGGATCCCTTCTCCCGGATAATTCTACATGATATGATACTTTGCCACAGTATTAATGTTTTCTATATCAGTTGCTCTTTTTCTATTTCCGAGTGTGTGCACATTCATGTATGTGAATATATGAATCCTGGCTGTCATGTCAAGGTTGTAACACATCCTCGGAGGATTGATCTTTGTCCTCTACCTTGTTTTTTTTTTTTTTTGTTGTTTGTTTTTTGAGACAGAGTTTATCTCTGTAACAGCCCTGGTTGTCCTGGAACCTGCTTTGCAGAGCAGACTGGCCTTGAACTCTCATAGAGATCTCCCTGCCTCTGCCTCCTGAGTGTTGGAATTAAAGGAGTGGGTCAGGATATCTTAATTCTCTGCGGCTGTGCACTCCAGGCTAGCTGCCTTGTGAGCTTCTAGGGTTTGTCTGTTCTGTGTAGTGTTATTTCAGATGCATGCTTCCACGTGTGTGGCTTTCATGTGTTCTGCGGGTCCAGAGTCATACTTGAAAGGTAAGTAGTGCTTACTATGCCATCTCTTCAGCCATCTTTTTACATTACTTTTATTTTTGTATGCCCTAGCCTCCAAATCAAGTGACTTGTCTGAGCTTGACACTAACAGAATTAAATATTTTTTTTTCCTAGAAAAAGAATTAAGTATGTGAATAAATGGCCAACATAACAGGGTTGTCTTTTTTTTTTATTACAAATATTAGGGCTCTTCATTAAAGACATTCAGGTGTTGATTCTCTTTGCCCAAATCCATTCACCCCTGGGAGACATTAACATTCACTCCTGCCTGTCATTATTTCCTACTCAAAGTCTATGATCCACAAATTATGTTGAAGAATATTCTTTTATTACCCTTTCTCTCACTGCCCCCCCTTACTTTTTCTTTCCTTCCTTGTGCTGCTCCACATTTTATTTTATTTTTTTCCCCTTTTCATTGCTAAGGGTGGAACTTAAGCCCTCACACAGAGAATGAGGAATGTAGCACTGAGCCACATTCCCAGCCCAATACTGTAATTTCTAGGTTGCAGTTGTTTCCTGTAATTGTCTTTAATTGGTCTGAAGATCTTTGAATTACAACAACTTTAATTGTCCTAAAAACAAACAAACAAACAAACAAACAAAAATCCAAATTTCATCAGTGGAACAGAGTTTGGGTAACTATAGCAAAACTCTTATTCAGCAAGAGAATGAGAACTGTCTACAGGAAATGAAATGTCATTGGGTGTAAGTTGCTAAGGAGTTAAGATGGGAAATAGTCTTTGACTAGTCAGTACTCTTCCTCGGTTCTTGGCTTAAATCCATGTAAGAAGTTCATAAGCACCAGCATCCCTTTCTATCTGATTCTTTCCTCCAGAAGGTTGGGGAAATGAAATATCCATTCACATCTCAGTCAGTTTTTAAAACCCAAATCTAAGAGATTTTTTTTTTCTTTCAGTCTGTAGTCTCCTTCTTTTCTATTCAAATCTGGTCAAGCCTCTGCATCATTGGCCAAACCTTTTTGAGACAGATGATGCTGCTAATCACAAATACCAGGACTTGAAATAAAGCCCTCTTTTGTAACTTTCAAAACATGCCCATCATAGGTAAGCAATGGCTCTTCTCCAAATGGCTTTCAATTTCACACCCGAGCTGGTAAAGCAGCCACTGTCTAAACCAAAACTTGATCTTGTCATGGAGGGAAAAGAGAAGGTAGAACAGCACACAGGAGGGGGCAACAATTCATCATGGCAGGTGCGGTTTCTCACATCTCCTTTACTACTAAAGTAAGTCATCTGATCAAACCTGATGCTAATGAGGCAATGAAAGGACCTCTTTTCCTACAGACAGGCGAGAGGCATGTGTAAATGATGTAATCTACCACACATGAAATCCCTACTTCTGAAACTCACATTTAACTCTGCAATGCCTGCTCTACCATGGCTTTTTAAAACTGTCACCCCCCCCCCTTCTCTCCAGCCATACTGAACTTTAATATGCAAAACTTAAGCTCTGACACTTTGACCTGTCCATTACAGTTTAGTAAAATTTATATTGTGCAGTTTGTGCTTTGTTAACATAGATATGGACCTGGCTATCCATGTTATTGTTCTATTTAGGAACTAGGCTAAATGTCTAAAAAAGAAAGAAGAAGAAGGAGAAGGAGATGAAGAAGAAGAAGAAGCAGCAAACTACTAAACTTTACTTTCTTTTGAATTAAGTTATTTTCAAATATCTACTTACTTTTTATTATAAATATTTTCCATTCCAAATGAAATAGTCAATAAAAGTTCTCCCCACCTTGTAATTTCTTTTCCTGCCAGCCTGGCTATATTCACTATTGTACTTCCCTTTTGACATCTGAATTCTTTCCACGCTTTTAACATAATCATACTCTGTACTGTAGTATATAAAGTATAGCAAGATTGTCATTCCCTCTGTGATCTCCTTTTTCTCTTTCCTTCCTTATGCATGGACCATTCACTCATGTTACACACACACACACACACACACACACACACACACACACACACACACACCTGTTTTTGTTTTTTATAATCTCTGGGCAATTTCATGTAACTAGAATGTTCTTCCCTAGATCTTCAACTGGTTGCCTCTTCTTTTCATTTAGGTTTCAACTCATATCCTTAAAATGATCTTCCCTCCCCCACTTTAGTTAAAGTAACCTTCCCTCTACCTTACCCACATCATTTTTCACTCTTCCTCTATTTTATTGGCACACATAGAGCTCTAAAGTTATCTGTTCATTACCTGTTTTCTTAGTCACCATGGTAGGGCTATTAGGTCCAATTTTTTTTTTTTTTTTCTCCAATGCTGAATTCCCAGCAGCAGCTAATCAATGTTCATGAAGGCACATGTCTGTGAGGGCAGCTCTTGGAAGGCTAAGGCAAAAGTCAGAGTCCAACCAAAACAAAACAGAGGCAAAAGCAATAGGAACTGGTATAGAGTAGGTACTCAGCAAAAGTTTTCTGAATTAATCACAAAAAAAAAAAAAAAAAAAAAAAAGTAAAGAAAACCATGCCAGCCTTGGCCTTTACATTCATAACATTCACCACCATCCATGTTTCCCTCCTTGGTGGTTTTATCCAAATAAGCATTTCACGCCACAGTTTCTCAGTTTGATGCTCTCTGGTTCTTTTCTTGCTCTATCTATTAAGCTATTCTAGCCAGCCACACAGCTTATTTCCTATTAATAAAATAACTTCTACATTTATTTTCTCTTTTGGTTTTTCGAGACAGGGTTTCTTTGTGTGGCTTTGGAGCCTCTCCTGGCACTCACTCTGTAGATCAGGCAGGCCTTGAACTCACAGAGATTCACCTGACTCTTGCCTTCCAAGTGGTGGGATTAAGGGAGTGCACCACCACACCTGGCTCTGATAGTATTCTAAACTTTTCTCCTCACTCTCCCATATCCATCAAACTATCAGGTCTTGTTGGTGCTACATATTTTTTCTCTTGGATTTTTGGCCCTATCATTATATTCCCTTTCTTAGGATAGCTTAAATTTGCAACAGCCCCTTTATAATTCCCCCCCCCCCACACACGTTTGGCCCTTCTATTCTTCATAACCAAAGGAATTCTTTTCAACCACAGAATCATCTCGGTGAGCTTCCTAAATCCTGATCATAAAGTCTGTGTATAGTGTTCGAAGCTCCCACGTGGCCCTTAGTTTGCTTAAGCTCCAGCTGTAACAGATTAATTGTGAGCTTCAAACCTTCTTCACTTGAATTTCCTTCCTCATACATTTCTTGACGTTTCCACGTTGCTAATGTCTACTTCAGTTTCTCAGTTTCAGTGAAGACGTCTCCTCTTTTTAGTCTTATTATTTGATATATGTAGGGAGTTGGAAAGGGTTCAAATTGCTGGTTGTGATCGCAAGCGCTGAATTAAAGAGTCCCAAGGAGGCCTTTTGGGTAAAAGTAAATTTAGAAAAGAAAGAAATGAAAATTGAAGTGGGGGTGGTAGAAACTCTTAAGTGTAGGAACACGACCCGTGAAGATGCAATATCTGGACCAACAAGGGGTGGTGGCATGTTGCAAAAGTTCTTGGGGCGACGAATCTTCAAAAGAGTGTCATGACCTGGGAGTCTAGCGTTCACACTGAAGGAACGGAAGGCCATCTTTAAGTCACCGACTAGTTTTTCCTTTTTTCTTTTTTAACTTCTGTCCCTAAGCGCCACTGGCAGACAGGAAACAGCTGCAGTCTTAAACCGCAGCCCTTGACCTGGGCGGCTGCAGACACGACCTGTCCCCCTGCGGGAGCTGAGCGCCTAGCCTGCAGAGGCGCCGCGCGGCTCCCTAGGGGACCTCGGGGCGGCCCGGCGCGCGCTCGACACGCGCGCCCCCAAGCGCGTCCACGCGCCGCCCAGCCCGGGAGGCGCCGCTAGCGAAGCCGCGCCCGCAGTGCACACTACCAGACGGCCGCCCGCTGACCCCGAGCTACGCGCGTGTCGTCCTAACAAGTGCCTGTCCCATCAGCCGAGAAGTTGGGATTTCTACGCCGAAATACACCCACCAGGAAGATGCATCGCGAAGCACTAAAGGATGCCGAGCTTCACAATGGAAAGCAGAGGTCGGGCCAGGTTAGAACGAGCGCGCAAGGGCTGAACCGTTCAGGCAGTGCCGGGGACAGCCGCACCCGGGCTTTCCTGCTGCAGGCTGCCCTCCCAGCCAGGGGTCCTTCAGGTAGGAGGTCCTGGGTGACTTTGGACGTCCGCTCTGCCAGGTTGCAGAAGCTGCTTGGTGTGTGTCCTGCGCTAGTTCTCCTGTCTCCGTCGAGGTAGGCCTCTGCCGCAAACATGCTTCGTCAGATCATCGGGCAAGCCAAGAAGCATCCCAGCGTAAGTTCAGTATCTTTTCCCGGGTAGCTTCTCTGCTGCGGGGCACCTGCCTCTCTCCCCTGGGAACGTTCTCTTTCCACTGTTCCCTGGGGTTACACTGTGTAACCAGGCTGACCAGGTTGCTCGAAGCCTTTTTTTTTTTTTTTTTTTATTTGTGACTTTACCCACTGCGGGGCTTTGCCTGAAGCAGAAGGTGGCAGACATCAAGGAGAAAGCTAGACATTTTGACTGTTGGAACACTGGTCACGCTCACAGATTGGTTGGCCCAAAGAGGGGTGGATAAGTACAGTGAGTGGGTTAGAATCCCAAGAGAGATCGGGTTTGTTATGTTGGCTTTTGAGGGTTTTATATTCACTGAATTGCACCATCAAGCTTTTTGAAATATAAGGTATCTTCATCTTGGTATCCTTGACATTTGCAAAATTTACTTAAGTGTTCTTGACATGTCACTTTCGTTCTGTAAAACTCCCTATGACAGTCCCCCAAGACAAATCAATTTTTGCTTTAAGCCTGGTTTTCTAGATACTCATCGAAATGAAAAGGAATCCGTTTTCAGAGTTCATTCCTAAAACCAGTGCTTGTAACAGACATTTCTGTCAGCTAATTATGCTCTTTATTTCACAGAGGTTATGTTGTTCACAGAACTTTTTGGCGCCACTCTTTAGCAGTTCATAGGGATTCCCCTCCTTCCAGCCTTAAAAGTACTTACAAGGAAATACTTCCCATTACTTCCAGGGAAGTAATGAAATTTAGTGAGAATGCTGTTCAAACGTTACAGAAGTGAATGTACTTGATAGGATTATTATTATTATTATTATTTAGACAGAGTTTCTCTTTGGATGACCTGGAACTTGCTTTGTAGACCAATCTGGCCTTGAATTCAGAGATCTGCCTGCCTCTTCCTCCTGAGTAGCTGGGATTAAAAGCATGCACCACCATCACCTGGCAGATAGGATTAAATTTTTTTAAACAGTCCTGCCTGTCCTGGAACTCACTTTGTGCTGGGATTAAAGGCGTGTGCCACACTGCCAGAAATTCTTAAACCAAAATCATCCAAATGTCTTTTGCAAAGATCATGCCTTTGGAATACACTTGAAAAGAAACATTGCTTCTATGATCAACCTTTATTCACATTTTAGTGAATTTTAGGACAAGTTATGGAAATAGCAGACTTGGAAGTTACTATGTATAAACCAGTAGCCTTATTTTGGACACCATGAAGGTATGGGATGATGACTACTATTTTTTGTCTATTCTTTGTTCTAGTTGATTCCTCTCTTCGTATTTATTGGAGCGGGAGGAACTGGAGCAGCGCTGTATGTGATGCGCCTAGCATTGTTCAATCCAGACGTCAGGTGAGTCTATACGTGCTTAGAGCTTGAATGGTTGAGGAAGCAGGCCTGGGGACCACAGTTCTGGGAGAGGTAGCACGTTAGAAGCAGCTACAGTTTTGTAGCCATGCAGTCAATCCCCAGGCTGCTGACATGAACTTTTCCTACTTTGTTAATTTATCTAATATCCCTGAGTTTTAGTTCCCTTTGGTAAAGTAGAGTTACTAATACTCTTTCATTTTGAAGATTGGGATCATGGTTTTGTTGGTTTGTTTATTGTTTTTGTTATTTACTTTGTATCTCTGACTGTCCTAGAACTCACTGTGTAAACCATGCTGTCCTTGAAGTCACAGATCTGCCTGCCTCTACCTCCTGTGTACTGGTATTAAGGGCGTGTGCCACCACGCCTGGCAATGATTCCTGTCCTGTGTTGGTGTTTTATACCTTCTTTTCCACAATAAACGTTTTTTGTTTTGTTTTTGCAGTTGGAAAATGATTGAATGGGCATTCTATACTTTTATATATTACCTCAATGATAACACAATCCCCAATGATAACAGAATCTAAAGACAGGGATGAAGACAGATGTCCCAAAAGGCTGTGGTCAATGATATTTACAAGTTGCATGCTTGCTTAACTATGAATTCTACTTCTGTTTAGTTCTATAATGAAAGTAATACCATACTATACCTACTAAAAAACATGTTTAATCTATTCAAAATACTAGCTTCTAAGGACGTATTTTAAAAGCACCATCTTAAGTAGTGTATTATTATTATAATTAATATAATTAATGTTTTATTCATTTTAGCTGGGACAAGAAAAATAATCCAGAGCCTTGGAACAAACTGGGTCCCAATGAACAATATAAGGTAAGGTGCAAAATTGTTAAACCTTGCTAGAAAGCATATTGCCACAGATGCGTGGCTTTGTGGTAGTTTTTCTTAGAACAGGATATGCAGGTAAAATTCCATTATAATGAACGTTGAAGACAACTTGGGCTCTTGGGTGGTTTGGTTGTCTGTTTCTTCTTGGTACAGTTCAAATATTTTAGGTGAGGATCAGGAAGAAATGAAAGTCAGTTGAAAATTAAATTTTGTCCTGAGCCTCATAGGTAAGCTTTAACGTCTTCCCAGAAGAGTGATCTATGTAGCTACTCTTTAGAAAGAATGCGTTCATACACCATGCTTATTGATTTCTCAAATACATCCTTTCTTAGATGTAATATTTGCATGTATACCCTTATATTGTCAAGAATTCATGTATAATTTTCATGCCATACAATTTATCCCTTATGTTTTCTGTTACATCTGATGTTTCTCTGTACTTAGCTTTTTGCCCTAGCACTCAATAAGAGACACACTGAGCCATGTTTGACCAAGACTTGGGGAAAGTGTCTGTGGTAGAGATGGGTGTTCTTACTACTATTTATAGCAACTTTAAAGATTATTCTTTACTCACTTTAAGATTTCTGCTTAATCTAACTGTAATTTGGCTTTTAAATACTCTCACTTTAAGATTTCTGCTTAATCCAACTATAATTTGGCTTTTAAATACTCAAGCTGCTGTCCCTTTAAAGATAGAACTAGAAACTCACTAGCCACCTGGTATGTCTTTTTAACATTTTGCTCAAGAAACAATAAACAGGCATTCTTATTCATTATTTTGTATTAGGAATTTAAGTACCATTTATTCTGGGGGGGGGGGAATGTATCTGCATATAAGAAACATTAAAAAGAGAACAAAGAACAAGAATTTGGTTGTTTGACCAGAGCATATTGGAGTATTCTGCGTATGTATTTCACAAAATGTACCAGATGATTTCAACAGTTGTGCCAGTTACCAGTGCCTTGGAATATGATGCCAAGGGCTGATGTGAGGCAATGATAACTGGAAATGGAATGTTGCTGCATTAAGACCCTGATGTTCGTGTTAAGATGCTAAGATTTGGGGTGGTTATGATGAAAAATACCATAGTTAGGGAAGGTTAGGCAGCAGAAATGTGTTACTATTGTGGAGCTAGGAAGTGTGAGGCCAAGGTACCAGTCAGTTCTGTCCCTGCTGAAGATCCTCTTACTGGAAACATTCTCAGTAGAAAAAGAGGGGGACACTCCACTCTGTTTTTTTTTTGTTATAAAGAAAGCAGTCTAGTTGTGAAGGCGTTGTCTTCGTGACCTAATAATTACCTTCCAAATTCTCATTGTCTAAATTATCATTATCCCATTGGAGGCTAGGATTTCACCATAAATTTTAGGAGGACATGAATATTCTGTTCATAAAAGGAGGTTATTGGTTCTTTAAAGAAAAAGCTCATAAAGCAATAAGAGCTTAGAGAAAGATGGGATTTAAGGATTAGCAGCCCAGCAGTACGTCAATGAAAAATGCTCGGAAGCTAGGATCAGATATAGCAATCTAGGGTGCTTTTCAAGTGAGCACTGTTAAATTGAGAAAAACAGCAGAGGCATGGAAGGGAAAAAGGTAAAGCAGATTTTAAAATTCCTTCCAAGGAGATTAAGTACAAAGCAAATATATCAAGCCTGTTCGATTTGAGGGGTGGGGGATTGTTGAATAAGGTCTCTCTACATAGTCCTGCCTGCCCTGGCTGTGTTGACCCAGCTGGCCTTGAATTCACATATACCTCTCTGCCTCTTTGCCTCCAGAATGCTGAAATTAATGGCAGGCATCACCACCCTGGCGATCTTGGAACATGATATATAGACAAGGTTAATTTTGATATCCACCTGCCTGTCTCATAAATGCTAGGTTTAAAGGTGTGCGCCAACACACCTGGCTATGGCATTGTTTTTAAGTATTTATTTTTATAACTTGGAATTACATGTGTAGGTGCCTGATAAGCTGGAGTTACCAAGGTTGTTTCTGAGCCACCCCGCATGGGTGCTGGACTCTGAGTCTTTAGATAAGCAGTACATTCTATCAGCCATTAAATTATCTTTACAATCTTTTAGTTTAGTCAGTTTGAAGTAACATAACTTGATCCTTGGTTAGATTTTTATAAAGCAGTAAGAATGCAAAAGATGGTGATGACTAAAATAAACAGAAGACATTGTTGGCATCTATTAGATGTTTGTTTTCTTAATATATGTTAAACCTATATATCCATCTGAAAATATCCTCATGCAATCATGTTAGAGGCTAGTATCAAACTTGTGTTGTCTAGGCAAATTGATTCTTAACAAGACCGTCAAAGCAAAGAAAATTGCTGGTTTACATAAAATTTTCTGTTCAAGAAAGAAACCCTAGGTTTATGTGTATATTCCTAAGGATGACATAACAATATGCTTTACAGGTTGGAGGTTTTCCTTTATTAAAAAAAAAAAAAGGGGCTGGGGATGAGTCTCAGCTGATAAGGTGCTTGCCTAATATGTACAAAGTGCTATGTGTGGTCCCCAGCACCCTTATTTACCTGATATACCACAAAGGCCACCAAGGCTGTGTGAGACCCTCCCTCATACAGTAAAGAAGTATGTTTGAAGTAAATGGGTTTGAAGACATCTCTTTGGGAACAGATTTTTGAAGCATTTGTTTGTATATTTTTTCATGGTGGAAAGGAACAAATCTGAAGCCTATGAGCTCCTGCCATGCCTTTGAGCTAGATGCCAGCCATGAAACCCTCATAGTCAGTCAGTGACTGTCATAGTCACTGTGAAGATTCCCTTTGGCCAAAGCAATTCATATGAAAGAGGGCATTTAATTGGGGGCTTGCTTGCAGAGGCTTAGTCCATTATTATTTTGGCATTGAACATGGTGGCAAGCAGTCATCATCCTGGAGAATGTATCTGGGAGCTATATCCTGATCTACAAGCAAAGAAAGAATGGGCCTGGTGTGGGCTTTTGAAACCCCAGATCAGATGCTTTAATTAATTCAACAAAACCATTGTTCTATAATTTCAGATAATGTATTTTTTTGTATGAATTTAGTTTATACTACTAGTCTTAATATTTCCTTTTCTGAGTTCTTACTTGAAAAAGTTGAACAAACAGATTTTAAAACTTTTATGCCATGTCTGTCTTTGGTAATCTAAAATACAATTTTTCCCCCCCAAGTTCTACTCAGTGAATGTGGACTACAGCAAACTGAAGAAAGAAGGCCCTGACTTCTAAACCATGGATTTCGTCATAAAGCTGCTTGTAATGAAGGTCTTTCAGAAGCCATCCGCACAATTTTCCACTTAATCAGGAAGTACTCCTCTGAATGCATGAAATCATGTCAGTTTTTTGGAGTATGTTACACTGATGAATAAATCTCTGAAACTTGGTTTGTGTGTCATTAATTAATGCTGGAAATCCATGTGGATCTTTATGGCTAGGATAGAGGGAATAAAATACTAGAATTTAAAGAATCTCTTTAATATATATGTATTTGAAAATAATTCTATACTGCTTTAATAAGGGTGTATGGTAATTAAGCAAAGGGATATTAAGAATATTCAAACCTTTGTTAAATGAACAAACTGTGGAATCCATTACATGTTGGTCAACACTGCTGACCATTAGGCCTGCTCTGGACTGATTGATCTACCCAGTGTTATTCCACTGGAGAAAAGTGATTTTTCCCTCTCCCAGCAGGTATAAACTACAATTCAGTTGTTGACCTTTGTCCTAAGTTGGGTTTTTATTAGTTATCTTTAAACATAACAATAAAATATGTTAAAAAGTATCACATCAAAGCTGGACAAGACAAACTAAAGCAGGTAATACGGTTCTGGGATACAATACAGGTTGATTAATATTTATTTGGGGAAAATTCACTTACACAAGAAACAGATGACCTCTGTGTGTTCCTGTTCCCAGGAAGTCCTCCGATCCTCTCATCTCCAACCCATAAGAGAAGATCCGGGTCAGGACCCAGACTTAGATTCCATCAGTATTGCCCATCCCTGTCCTTATGCCCCAATGGGTGTGGTCTGTACAACAGGTGTGGGTGGGGTAGATACTACAACAAACTAAAGAGCCCAAGAGTAAGGGACCTACTCGTTTGCATTCAGGAATTGCATAAAAATACTAAACTGGAAATCATTACATACACGTGCAGGGACCTGGTGCAGACAGGTGAAGGCCCTGTGAATGCTGCCTCAGTCTCAAGGTTCGTACGTATGTAGTGATATATTCTGATCTATTTATTTTTGACAAATTTTTATTTAACTTTGAAACACGCTTGTTTTACATGTCAGTCCCAGTTCCCCCACCCTCTCGTACCCCCCCATGCCTGCCAAGAACCCCCGTCCCATCTTTTTCTGCTCCCAAGGGAGGGTGAGGCCTTCCAGGAGGGATCATCAAAATCTATCAAGACATTTGGAGTAGGGCCTAGGCCCTCCCTCCTGCCTCTAGGTTAAGGGAGTATCCCTTCATAGGGAATGTGCTCCTAAAGTCCTTTTGTGCACCAGGGATACTTCCCAGGCCTCCTAACTGAGACCCACCTTCAGGGGACCTGGGTCGGTATAATGTTGGTTTCCCAGCTATCAGACTGGGGTCCATGAGCTCCCCCTTGTTCAGGTCAGCAGTTTTTGGATTTCTCCAGCCTGGTCCTGACCCCTTTACTCATCACTCCTCCCTCTGTAACTGATTCCAGGTGTTTGGCTCAATGTTTAGCTGTGGGTGTCTGCTTCTGTTTCCATCAGCTACTAGATGAAGCTCTAAGATGGCATATAAGGTATTCTTCATCACTCTCATTATCGGGGAAGGGCATTTATGATAGCCCCTCCCATTATTGCTTCGATTGTTAGTTGGGGTCATTCTTGTAGATCTCTGGATATTTTCCTAATACCAAACTTCTCTTAAAACCTATAATGGCTCCCTCTATTATGGTATCTCTTTTCTTGCTGTCCTCTGTCCCTAACTCAATCTTTCTGTCTATCATGCCCTCCTCTTCCTCCTAACTCCCTTTTCCCCTCACTCCATGCTCTCAATTTGTTTGGGAGATCTTGCCCCTTTCCGTCTTTCCTGGTGACCATATGTCTCTCTTACAGTCCTTGTTTCCTAGCTTTCCCAGTGGTGTGGATTGTAAGCTGATTATTCTTTGCTCTATGTCTAATTTCCATATATGAGTGAGTACATACCACATTTGTCTTTTTGTGACCGAGTTACTGCAGCAGTATGGTTTCTTCTAGTTCCATTTGCCTGCGGATTTCAAGATTCCATTGTTTCTTTTCTTTTTTTTTTCCGGGTGAGTAGTACTCCATTGTAAATGTACCACATTTTCTTTATCCATTTTTCAGTTGAGGGGCATTTAGGTTGCTTCCTAGTTCTGGCTATTACAATTAGTGGTGCTATGAACACAGATGAACAGATGTCCGTGTTGTATGAATGAGTGGAGGAGTGTACACCTTTCTCTACATCCTCTCGAGCATAAACTGTCTTTGGCATTTTTGATTTTAACCATTTTGACAGGAGTAAGATGGTGTCTCAGAGTTGTTTTGCTTTGCATTTCCCTGATGGCTAAGCACGTTCTTACCTGTCTTTCAGCCATGATAGAATCCTCAATTGAGAATTCTCTATTTAGTTCTGTACCCCATTTTTTAATAGGATTATTTCATGTTTTGCTGACTAGTTTCTTGAGTTCTTTATGTATTTTGGAGAGCAGCCCTCTGTGAGATGTGGGGTTGGTGAATATCTTTCCCCATCCTGTGGGATGCTGTTTTGTTCACTGTGTCCTTTGCCTTACAGAAGCTTCTCAGAGGAGGCCCCATTTATTAATTGTTGGTCTCAGTGTCTGTGCTGCTGGTATTATGTACCAATTACTTCAAGGGTGCATCCCACTTTCTCTTCTAAGTGTTTTCATGTGGTCTTTGATCTATTTGGACTTAAGTTTTGTGCATGATGATAGACATGGCTCTATCTGCAGTCTTCTACACACCAGCATCCAGTTATGCCAGCACCATTTGTTGAAGATGCTTTCTTTTTTTCCATTGTATAATTTTTGCTTCTTTGTCAAAAATTAACAGGTGTTTGTAGGATGCGTGGGGTTAATATCAGGGTTTTCAATTTGATTCCATTAGTTTACCTGTCTATTTTTGTGTCAATGCCAAACTGTTTTCAGGATTAAAGCTCTATAATAGAGCTTGAAGTCAGAGATAGTGATGCCTCCTGACGGTCCTTTATTGTACAAGGTTGTTTTGGCTATTCTGGGTCTTTTGTTTTTCCATATAAAATTGAGTATCGTTCTTTCAAGGTCCATGAAGTATTGTGCTGGGATTTTGATGGGGATTGCACTGAATCTGTATATTGTTTTTGGCAAGATTGCCATTTTTACTGAGTTGATCCTACCTATCCAAGAGCATGGGAGAGCTTTCCATTTTCTGGTTAGTAAATTTGATAGCCTCTTGGGGCCGTTCTTATCTTGTTAATTGTCTACTTTGAATACAGATTTAATCTGGTTTGAAATAATTTGCTTTAAAGGAACATTATTTTGTAAAGAAAGTAGATTTCTGTCCCTGTAGTATTAGACTGCTTATTAAGAAAATAGATTTATTTTTACGTGTTCTTTTATGTTTCTTTGAATAGATTTTACTTACTGTTCTTTCATAGGTAACAGAACTGCACCAACAAGAAAAATTTAAGTCCTTTAAGTTTATGGTATCTGTATGACAAAATCTTACACATAAGCAATGAAGATGGTGGTTGCTAACTAAAATTTAATACTAAAGAAATGAATATGTTTTGATTCCTTTGCTTGTGTGCTATTTTAATCCCTTTAGCCCCAGCACTCCAGAGGTGTAAAAGGAAGAAACAAAGGGTCTCACGTGGAGATTTAATTTCCAGACAGGGAGAGCTATTGTCTCTGAGGATTCATGGAGCCAGGATCACCTTTACAGTTTGGGGTAGAAGTAAGAGCTAGTGGCTGGCTGCTTTGCTTATCTAACCATCAGCTTGAACCCTAATGTCTGTGTTTTTTATTTTTCATTTTACATCCATGTAAGCTTTGCTCATCTTGATTTAGAAGGTCTTGTTTTCTTAGTGTCCTCCATACCCTCTGGCTCTTACATTCTCTCCCTCTTCCTCCAGATTTCCTGAGCTCAGGGGAGGGATTTAATAGAGACATTCTATTTAGGGATGAATGTCCTGTGGTTTCTCATTTCAAAATGTCTGACTGTGGGTCTCTATATTTGTTCCCCTCTGTTGTGAAAGGAAGCTTCTTCAATGATGGTTGAATAAGGCACTGATCAATGAGTATAGTAGAATGTCATTAGGAGACATTTTAATCACTACATTTATTATCATTATTTAGAGAATTATTTGGTTTTACCTTAGTTTCCTGGGATATCTAGACTCAGGTTCTTGGTTACCCAGTGTCAGGTATGGGTTCCATCTCATGGGTTTTATGTCAAATCATTCTTTGATTGGTTGCTTCCACAACTTTGTGCCACCATTGCCCTAGCATATCTTGCAAACAGTACACTAGTGTAGATAAAGGGTTTATGTCTGGCTGCTGTTTGTTTCTCTTGGTATCATGCAATAAGTGTACCTTTGTGTACCAATGACACTGCAATATAGGGATGAAGGTTCTATGTAGGCACCAGCTCAACATCTCCACATTCAGGGTTTGTGTAGGTGTTGTCTTCAGCAATAGGGCCTTGCTGTCAATTTGTAGAGAGAAACCTATAGGCTTGGCACAGCCTGGGTTGTTTGGGGATTCCTGTGAGGCCCCTTTGGCCTCATATGTAACCTAATCCCGGCACTAGAAGCTTCCTTTGGTGACAAGCATTTGACCAGCTGGGAGTCTATCTCCCAATTGTTTGGGGATTTCATTTAGAACACCGTGTGTGTGTGTGTGTGTGTGTGTGTGTGTGTGTGTGTGTACATTTCCATATACATATATATGGAAATTTCTACAGTATTGTTTCCCTATCATCCCTCAAATGGCATTTAATTTTAGCTGTCCCTGTTTGCTCTCCCACAACCCCTTCATCTCAGCCTCCCCACTTGATCCTCCCATTCCAGTCCCACTCCTTCCATGTATCTCTATTTCTATTTCTCTTTCCTAACAAGATCTATCTGTTCCCTCTAGTACCTTACTCTACACCTACCCTTTGTTCTATGGATTGTAGCTTGGTTATCATTGACTTCACAGTGAATGTTCATATATAGGCAAATTCATACCATATTTGTCTCTCTGGTTCTGGGTTTCTGACTAATTTTTTTAGTTTCATCAATTTACCTGCAGATTTCATGATGTCATTTGATGGAGGATGTCCTTCTGTATATATGTTTCTTTTCCTAGTTGATGAATAAAACACTGGCTAATAGAGGCAGGGAGATA